GGGCTCAGAATAAGCGCCACACAGAGGAAGGGACAGAAGGGATTATGACTGCTGCCTGGTGTCGTTTTTTATTTACCATTTAATTCATACAGGTCAGCTTTAGATCAGTGAATAATGAAGCTAAATCCATAAAGTAAATCTCTGTGTAACTTTAGAACATTTTATTTACCATTCATATTTCAGAGAATAGGAACCTGGTTGCTAGTTTATTGAATCTCTTTCCTCCCGGACTTGGAAATGTGTTGTAAAGGAAGAACAAAGGTAATTTAATTTCAACAGACCTGTTTTGACATGACTCTAATTAATTGAAAACACACCTGGGAATTACAGTAGCTTACAGACAACTCTCAACTCATTTTCTGGTCAAAAAAGAAATCCACAGTGCATTTTAAATGTGAAAATAACCTCTTATGAGACTTTTATGAGAAGGATTTTAAAAGCTTCTATAATTTCTCAAGGGTATATAGACTTTCAACAGCTGAACTCTTGAGTTTCCAAGCATTTCTGAAACATAAACAAAGAAATCTCTTAGCAAGTATGAAATTTCATCCTACTCTTTTTAGAATGGTCATCTGACATCAAGATAGAAAGCATACATAGAGAATAATAGGAGGAAAAGACATCAAATATTATTATTTAATTTCAATTTAGAATACAGTATTGTGATAGTTATACGGGTCATCTGTAGATATTATTCAAAGAGTTTCAGTAATAGGATGGCAGAATGAATACAAAATAGAATGAAGCATTTTATTTATTATTCAGTTTTCATCTTTTATTTTTGTTATAAAGAGAGACAAATATGGCAGGTGAACAATGACTAAATTGGCAGAAAAATGAAGTAGCTAGAGTTTAAATTATATTATTCAGAATATATTAGAGTACAATTAACAATATTAGCATTTTGGGAGCTACAAAAGAAGAGAACACAGGCATATTTTGATTGTACTTTGAATTCATTCACATGGAAATTTTAAGAAATTTACTTAAAGAGAAAGACAAAATACTTTCTTAGGTAACTATATATTATATGTATATATATATATATATATATATATAGTTAAATAGTTAACGTTGAATTTTAAAGGAATGTTTTGCATGACAAAGACCTCTCCATGTTCTAGCACACAGGTCCATTTCAATACTATTGTGAGCTTCTGATAACCTACGGCAGTGACTTTCCACTTTCTCAACTACAACACACAGAAAGAAATACACTGTAAAATCACGGTACTTGAAGTAAGCCAAGAAGATAATTTAGTTCCCTCCCTCCCTTTGAGTCTGAATCATGTGTCAGCCATCAGCACAGATATGAATCTCTTCTATTCTTTTTTTTTTTTAAAGATTTTATTTATTTGACAGAGACACAGCGAGAGAGGGGAACACAAGCAGGGGGAGTGGGAGAGGGAGAAGCAGGCTTCCCGCTGAGCAGGGAGCCGGATGCGGGGCTCGATCCCAGGACCCTGGGATCTTGACCTGAGCCGAAGGCAGACGCTTAATGACTGAGCCACCCAGGTGCCCCGAATCTCTTCTATTCTTAAAGCTACTATGATTCAGCTCATCTGTAAAATGAGGCTAATAAGACTTGTCCCATTAGAATTAGGATTAAGTCAAAAGGTGTAGGTAAAAGACCTCGTATGAGTATCTCATACATATGAGGCTGTAAAAAAGAAAAAAAAGGCAGCTATGATTATTATTAATGAGATGATACAGTAGTCTTGTTTTAAGTGGAAAATATTTATTTTCAAGAAATTTTTTTCATATTTCTCTTAGATAATTAAATTCTCCATGCTACAGTTCATACCCTACAATTAGCACTGATGGCAATGTCCTCTAATTTCTTTGTTTCATGTTTCTCTCGCCACCCCTCAAACCTGTCTAAACTTGTCAGCTCCTTGAGCTTAGGGACTCTATCTTATTTCAGTTTAATCCCCAGTGCAGAACATTGAGCTGGGCACACAATAAATTCTCAGCACAAATTTATTCCATGAGCATGAATATGAAAACATTTTTAACTAATATATTCTTTTTTCCTTTTTAGGCTGATGTCATTTTTGAAAAAGTAATATTTACACAGTTTATAAGTCAAATATATGTAACAAAATATTATAATTTTCTGTCAAATTCTTCTCAGATTCATACATATCTGTATTTCTAAATAATATGCCTATACTCTTATATTTTTATCATTCAATTTTAGATGTTATCTATTGAATTTCTAATATGATTGTTGAGGATTTAGCTCCCTGAAACTTCTGTAGGGGCCAAGGCCCACCCCAAAATACACCACTTTGGCCTGTGGACTATTTTGAGTTGAAGGCAATCAAGACCCTGAGGGCTCAAGAGAAACTTCTGTTCCTCCCCTAACTATATAGGAGAATCTAAATTCAGAGTCTTTTCCAGAATAGGGGTTATTACCAGAGATAAATTTTATCTGAGTGACCCATCTGTATGGTGGGACAAAAATCTAATTATCAAACCTCTATTCTTCTTCTTATTGCCCTATGAATTGCATTCCTTCCCTTTGAAGTCCCAAACCCCTACCCCATTCTCCTTAGTTCAGGATGACATATGTATCTCATTTTGCTTGACTGTCTTCGGAATGTCATGTCTGTGTGGATATCCCGTTCATACAAAACTGAATTTGATTTTCTCCTGTTAATCTGTCTCATGTCAATTTGATTCTTAGTCCAGCTAGAAGGAGGTTGAAGGGAAGAAAACAATTAATTCTCTCCAACATTTTCATCTCCTTGCTTTCCCTCCCCACTTCTCACAATAAAGTTACATTAAAAGTTTTGTTTAGATTTAATTAATTGCTGACATTATTATGACTGTGTCAATGTTTATAGTTGATCATTTTAGGAATTTACTGAAGTTATATCTCCTTTTATGCTTTTATCTTTCTTGAAAATAATAGCCTTGATTTTTCATTAGATTGATTTCATTTAAACTTTTGTTAACTTTTCACAATAACCTTTTAGGGCCATTTCCCCAAGATCATTCTTAGGTAATCCATCAGTTCCAATTATTTTTTTATGGAGTCATCCATCTGAAGACCTCTATTCTTTTTAGGGATACTGCAAAGCACTTGTCCAGGAATTTCTCTTCCTTGCTATGCTGAGAATTCCCTTGATTTTCTTCTGATATAAGTGTCCTGTTTTCTTTCTTTGAGAGAGAGAGAGAGCGTGAGAGATTGAGCATGAGCAGGGAGGATAGGGAGAAGCAGGTTCCCTGTGAGCAGGGAGCCCAGTGTGGGGCTCGATCCCAGGAACGCGGCATAATGATCTGAGCTGAAGGCAGGGGCTTAACCGATTGAGCACCCAGGTGCCCCAAGTGTCCTGTTTTGTTGATATCTTTTTTCATCTTTCTTTTTTACTCCCTTGTTTTATTGGAGCACATCTTCCAGTTATTTCTTGAGAAAGGCTGCATGGCATGGGAAATATAATTTTAAGAATTTGCATACATGAAAATATCTTTATTTTAACATAACGCTAGGTTGGGCATCAATTTCTATACTGAAATGATTATTTCTTCTTAATTTTGAAAGTGCTGCTCCACTCCTTTTAGAGAACGGTATTATTCCTTATTTTTGCATGACATACTACAGTTCTTTTTTTCTCTCTTGAAACGTATCCCATTATCCTGAAATTGCACTTATGGGCCTTACTTGGATCTATTTTTCATCTTTTTTTTTTCCCCTATCACTTAGTGGGCCCTTTTAATCTGGGAAATCATGTCTTTCAGTACTGAGAAAGTTTCTTAAATTATTATTATTAGTTAAAATAATATTGGTGATTCCCTGGCTACTGTTTACCTGATTTCCCTTTTTGAAACATCCATGATGCAAATATTTTGCCTCCCGAACCATCTTCTTATTTTCTCATCTTTCTGTCATTTCCCATCTCTTTATCTTTGTCCTCCAACTTCTGGATCACTTCCTTGACATAATCTTTCATCACTACTATTGGGTTTTTCATCTCCTACTTTTTATCATGTCCTTCGTTTCCCAAATGTTTTTTTTTTTTTTAAGATTTCATTTATTTATTTGTCAGAGAGACAGAGAGCACATAAGCAGGGGGAGGTGCAGGCAGAGGGGGAAGCAGGCTCCCCACTGAGCAAGGAGCCCGATGCAGGACTCGATCCCAGAACCCTGGGATCATGACCTGAGCCCAAGGCAGACGCTTATCTGACTGAGCCACCCATCCGTCCCACCAAATGTTCTTTAAGTCTTGCAATGTTTTCTGATTTCTTTGAGAATATTTGAGCTTTCTCTCCCCCCTCCCCTTTTTTTTGCTTTCTTCTCCTTTTAAGGTCTTTGTTCCAATTACTGTTTTTGTCTCTATCCTTCATGATAGAGGCTTCCTCAGATGTCCTATTGGTCTTATCTTCTCATTTTAAGGGTGTGGAACTAAAAGTTATCAACATTGAGCCAGCTTCTGGGAACCAGGAAGGAAAACACAGTGGTCTCAACATTCAGCATTCAGCATTCATTTTTTCACTTAGTTTTCACACTGTGCCTGGCATGTCCCAGCCCAGAGACCTTCTGTTTGTCTTCAAAGACTAAAACTCTGGTCTTCCTTCTGGGTTGAAGGAAGGCATTCAGCCTGCTGCAGAGGGTGATGGAAGGAATCAATGGATCTGACTACTTAAACAGTATTCCACCAATCCTCCATTTTTAGCCTCTGTCTTCCCTGCCAGTTCTAGAGGTGGACCCATTGCTAAGCCTTTTGTGCATTCTTGATACAAAAATCATCTTGGTTCTGTGCTGTCTCCACTGCTTTCTCTCACTCTAAATTCACCCTTTTCACCTGCTCTGTGAAAATGAAGATGGCCCAATGAAATATTTTCTTTGCAGGTAGCACAACGTTCAGCTTTGTCACTAGAGGGTGCTGGAAAGACATTTAAGGAGGAAGGGGCTTTCCTTCCTAGTTCCAGTGTGTTCCTTTTGTCTGGCTCCTGCAGCTTGGGGGGGCTTCTGCAGCCCCAGACTTTTCCAGACCAGGCAGCCTCTCCAGTACCCAGCTTTGCAGTTAACGTTGGGCAGCAGAACCCAGCAGCTGGCAGCTTCCTCAGCATCTCCACCCTAAGGCAGTTTTATAACAAGAGGCCTCCAGTGAGTCATCTCTCTGTGAATAGTTTTCACTGGCACCCTGGTGGGTATATTTCCAGCAAGTTCCACCAGTGCAGCATCACAGCATCCTCTCTGCATTCAGTGAGCCACTTCCGTGCCCTCTCCAACAAGGTCTGGATCGGAGCCTTTGGGAACAGAGGTAGGCTTGTCCTTGGGCTCTATCTCATCCTAAGAGGTAGTAGCTGCTTCTTATAGCTGCTATTCCTATATTCTCTAGAGTTCTTTTTAATTCTTACTAGGTAATCCCTGGGTATTATAGTTAGTAACCTCCTGTTCTAGTTAGTAATTCTTTATATTACGCATCCCTGTTCAAATTACTCTGATTCAGTCCTGACTGCTATAGTCACTGTGAGCCTGCTCTTCAAGCCTCCTAAGAGACTGTCTATCACCTACAGGGGAATGGCATGGTATCTGCCCTGACCATCTATGCATATACCCCCTGGCTATCTTTGAATGCCCTGTACTTTGCTCCCCATCTCTAAACACTCCTTTTTTTTTTCTTTCTAAGAATGCTAAATTACTCGAGGTTTCACAATTCACAAAGCAGATTAATATTCCTGGGCCTTAAGTGTGTGCAATTCCCTTACTTTAGACATACCTTAACTCAGCAGCGGTCATCTCACAAGATTGTTCAATGCCACCTTTTCTGAAAGACTTCCCTGATCTTTTCTCTCTCTTGAGATTTGGTTTTTTTTTTTTTTCATTTGTTTGTTTGTTTGTTTTACCTCTTGTTCCCTTAGGGCATAAGCTGTTCACAGGTATGAACCCCCGAGTTTACAGTGAACCCTTTATCTTTCTTTCTGTTACCAGACCTAGCAAATTGCCATTTTGTCACATAGTAAAAACTTAATAAATCTATGTGGAATGAATCAATGTGTTGCATTTGTAAGGAATCTAATTTAGAATTTCTTCCATAGAGAGCTGAACTACGAATGTAAAGCAAAATCAAGGTGAAATTTCAGGAGAGGGAAAAATAGTTAGTACCTGGTAGGATGATTCTTCCTTGGTGTGTAGCCCTACTTCCATTGCTGTTGTCACAATTACAGCTGTACGAACCTGCTATTTCATTTTTTTGGTTGATTGTTTTTTTTTTAGAGAGGGGTGGGGGAGGGGCAAAGGGAATGGGAGAGAGAGAATCCTAAGCAGGTTCCATGCCCAGCGAGGAGCCCCAACTCGGAGCTCAATCTCACGACCTTGAGACCATGACCTGAGCCAAAATCAGGTGTCGGATGCTTAACTGACCGAGCCCCCAGGCACCCCCACTGTTTTCAAAGCAGCTGGCAGACCAGCTTGAGCTTGGTGCTCTTCACAACTCACAGGACTGGCGCAAAGTGACACAGGTGCTTCTAACTTAGTTGGAGCAAAGTAACACTTCTCATTTAGGTAAAACAAATTATCAGTGTATTTCGCTATTCTGGTGGACATTTGCATTTATAGGTCAGCAGGAATGACTGAGAATCTATAGTTCTCAAAAAAAAAATTCAGAAGTTAGCATTTCATAGATTCCTTAAATTTACCAATTTAAAACTCTACACCACTGTGTTGGGATTTACCTGGGCTGGAATTTGAACTAGACACAAGGACTACTACACTAGACTAGTATGACTACAAATTACTTGTTTCTTTCTGGTGAAAGTAAGATTTTAGTGACAATAGTGACAAAAAAAATTATTAACTCTAACTACAAAACAAATTTGAAAAAATTTTGAAAAATTTGAAAAAAATTCTGAATTTTCCATGTACTGTCTCAATGATTTTTTTGAAATGCAGATATTTAAATATATGTTAATTGGGTTTCTATTTTGCTCAGACATTGTGCAGGTTGGTAGAGATTTAATATTAAATAAATCATAGAGTACACAAATCATTGGTACTCACTAAATGTACCAATATGTTTATTAGGCACAAAAATACTCATAATGCTTGCATTTGACTAGTGTTTGTACTCACTTAATAAACTGTCATTTTCAAGGAATCTGTAAGATGGGCAAGAATTATCTTCATTTTGCAGTGGAAAGATAACTGAGCAGTAGAGGGATTATCTGTCAAATGTCACAGTATATTGGAAAACAAGGACTTTGATAAAGGTCTCTGTCCACTATTCTGGCTGAGATAAGTATGTAACTTAGAGTAAACTATAAAAAGATCAAATTTTTAAATACCTGGTCAATTCTCTTTCTTATATAGAGATTCATGCAAAGGTTGACCACCAAAAATATCAACAAATTAGACATTGAATAGCAGACTTCTAAATGACCTCTAAACAAATTATTTCAAAGGAACATTCTGTTAATGACTTTAGATAATTGCTTACATAGCTGTTTTGGAAAAATAACTTTCCTTTTAAAGATTTAAAATAAAATCAACAGCAAATTGCAGGTGAGTAGATGGGGCTCTACAGTGGAGGATCTTGGCAAACCAGAAGGTAATAAATCCATCCATTCATTTGTTGAGCAAATGTTTATTTTTTTATTTATTTTTATTTTTTTTAAAGATTTTATTTATTTATTTGACAGAGAGAGAGACACAGCGAGAGAGGGAACACAAGCAGGGGGAGTGGGAGAGGGAGAAGCAGGCTTCCCGCGGAGCAGGGAGCCCGATGCAGGGCTCGATCCCAGGACCTGGAATCATGACCTGAGCCGAAGGCAGACGCTTAACGACTGAGCCACCCAGGCGCCCCTGAGCAAATGTTTATTATGCTCCTTCTTTTTTCTATTCACCGAAATAGGCATATGTAGATAGAAAAACAACAATTTCTTGTGGTGAGCACTCTAATAATTATGATCCAAATGCTGTGGGGAACCCAGAGAAAAGACTGACTGATTCACTTTTTTGGGGGGGGAATCCAGGAAGTAAGGTAAATCAGAGAAGAAATGATATTTGAGTTGAATCTTGAGGTTGAATTGAGCAATCCAGGAGAAGAAGAGGGAGGTCATTTCTAGGAGAGGTACCAGTACACACAAAGACTGGTAGTTGTGAAAACATACAGTGTATTCTAGGAAAGGTGAAGAATTCAGTTTGAGAATAGATTGTATGGGCAGCTGAGGCTGGAAGGATACATAGGGTCATATTTGAAAGAGCCTTTGGCTATGAGTTTTTTTAGCGTTTTATCTTATAGGCAGCAAGGAGGCATTGGAAACTGATAGATTATGGTAGGGATAATTGATAGAACTCAGCATTAGGTTGAGAGTAAAAGAGATACCAAATGCTTAAAGCAAGGACAAAATATAAAGAAGATAAGGACCTGCAGAATTCCTCTTGAATGTGACATTCTCTTTTTGATGGTAGGAGAGGAGTAATTTCATATTCTAATTTTGTGACTTCCTACCCTGTAGGCCCTCTTTTTTTTTTTTTTTTTCCAAATTGCTGTTAGGATTTAGTCTTTGGTTTCATTTCTTATCTTCGTGTTCTTTTTTTTTTTTTTAAAGATTTTATTTATTTATTTGACAGAGAGAGACAGCGAGAGAGGGAACACAAGCAGGGGGAGTGGGAGAGGGAGAAGCAGGCTTCCCGACGAGCAGGGAGCCCGATGTGGGACTCGATCCCAGGACCCCAGGATCATGACCTGAGCCGAAGGAAGACGCTTAACGACTGAGCCACCCAGGCGCCCCTCTTATCTTAGTGTTCTGCTTTCTTTCAGAACATTACTTATGGTTGGTTTGAAGATCCTGTTCCCTATCACTTAGCTCTTCCTTATTAGTAATGATACTTTTCAGAAGGCTAATCTTATCATAACATACAAGAGAAAAACTCACCACCTTGAAAATGTAAGCCCTTGTATAATATAGAAATACCACATGAAAGTTCAGGGGCTTGTCCCCTTTGCGAAATATCTGGAGGTCTGGTGGTCTGAGGCATGTTGATACATCCCTTTGAGGATGAAGGGCAAGCTACCGCACCTGCCTCATTTAACACTAAGAAAGAGACAAACCCCTTGTAGGCCTCTTTGGATTTTTGGAGACAATGTGTATGCTATTCCAACTTATTTACTAAATATTTCCAAATGCTGCCAGTTTTGAGTAGAACCAGAGAAAGAGAAGTCTCTGTATCAGGTCCGGGCTGCCATACTGCTTAGATCGGATGGCTCTTGAAGGGTCAGAGGTGGACTGGAATGCTGAATGGAACCTTTGGCAGTCCCTACAAGTGAGTAATAGCACAGAGCTTTAATAGTTTTGGAACAAAGCTTTGCATTCTCTGCAGAGAACTCTCCCCTTTTTGAAAAGCAGCTTCTGACTTGTTGCTGGGCAAGTCATAAGTAGTAGGATCAAACTAAAAGCTGGATCCTGGGCCTTTAAGTCACCAAATCATCTGAGCTGTCTACCATGAACCAGGTATTTGGCACTAAGCTAAAATATTAAGCATGTATATTGGGCAGCACTTCATCAAATGAAACTAGTATATACAAGATCAAGATCAAGCAGGTCTTGAAGGCAAAAGTTAGTGCAGAGCAAGTGTCACAGATGCTCATGACTCCTATTTCTGCCTACGTTGCTTCCTCTATCTCAACCTGTACCTATGGCCTGATAGGGAGCCCCCTATGACCAACCTACTAAGGAAGAACAAAATTTGTGGTTTGGTTTACATGTGGTACTGCACAATATGCTGGCAGGACTCTAAGGAGGAAAGCTGCAGGACTATAGCTCCACTGAGTGATAGCCCTAAGGGGCACTGGTGAGGGAAATCCTTCCAATGGGCAGCACTCAGAGCAGTGCATATGGTTGTTCATTTCTTCCTAGGAGAAGAGATGGCCAGAGACATGGGTCTACCCTGATCCATATACAGTGCTTAACGTTTGGAATAATAGTCAGGGAATTGGAAGGAACACAATCAGAAAATTGGTTACAAGATAATCTAGGGAAGAGATATATAGATAGACCTCTGACTATGTCTACACATATGAAGATATTTGTGATCTATGTTAAGGGTGAACAAAGAATGACATCAGCAAAGGAGGATTCTAATAATCACTTGAAAAGTTGCTATTCTATGGCTGTCAGTGAGAGTCTATCCCTGGCTACTGCTGTCTTCGCCAAATAAACACAGAAAGTGGCCATGGAAACAAGGGTGGAGGTTTTGTATGGACTCAGCAACACAAGGTTGATCTGGCCACAGCCAGTGCTGAATGTCCAACCTGCCAAT